GAGACCCGTGTCCTCGGTGCCAGCCCCGGCTCCGGGGGTTTACAGGTGGACCCAGGACTGGCTGCGGGGGCTGAGCCCCCTCGGCTTCTTCAGTGCCCATCAGCTCACAACTTTCCCCGTGGAAGGGCAGCGGTGCCCTCTCTGGTGCCAGCGCTGGAGCTGGCGCCAAGGTTTGCTCCGATAGCCCTCGGCGTGCCCTGGGACACGTGCCCGCAGGCAGCCCGGGGCTAGGCTCAGTTTGGAGCAGGGTACAGGGCGACCTTGGTGCGCTCTGCCTGCTTGACCTTGGCTGAAGTGGTGTCCTGACACCTGCGTGTGGTTTCTACAATGCTGCTGGGGGCTCTGCAGTGGGAACACTCCAGGTCTCTGAGCAGCATCCCCAGCTCCTCTCTGCTGCCACACTCCTCTGCCCTCTTCACTGCCTAGCAGCAGGTTGTTACCTCGTTCCTTTCGATGGGCTTGATCTTGTCCACAGAGGTTCACAGGGAGACCTAGGGGGTGGGAGTCCCTTTTCTTCTTGGAGACCCCAGGGAGGGGCTTTGGCAAAGTCCAAAGTCTCCAACAGGCTCCTGAGCCTGGGGTGGCTGCTGTGGTGGGAAGGTCTAAGTCCTTGTTTACACAGAAAAACGTGTCTTGCGAGTTTGTTGTCTTGTTCTTAACCCCTCTGTGCAGCTGCAGGCGGCTGTGGGGCTGGGTCCTGGGGCAGCTGCAGCCCAGCAGTGCAAGGAGAGATCCTGAGATAGCAGTGGGTGATTTCTGGAGGGGCTGAGTGCAGGAGGTGAGAGCTTGGGCCTCTGCCTGCCTCCCTGGGTTGCAGAATTGCTTCAGCTGCTGGCAGGGGCCAGCTCAGCTTCCTTCCTTGCATGGCCTCCGTCTCCGTCCGGGTGCTCCTGAGCTCTGTCTGAGTCCCATGTCCCTTCAGGTGGTGGGGGACGTGCCAGACTGCTGCTGGCAGGGAAGGGCTCTCCTTCACCAGCCCAGCACCTTCTCTGGATGAGTCAGCTGTGCCAGACGCTTCCCTCCCTGAGGGTCTCAGCCCCTCACTGCAGATGTGCCCCAGCCCTCCTGCCCTCCTGCTTGTCCCCACAGCAGGGCTGTGGGGCCCCTGTTCCTCCCTCTCTGTGCCAGAGCAGATCCTGCATGTCCCCTGGGGCTTGATGTGGCCCCTGGTCCTGTCCTGCAGCCCAGGCAGGGGCGTGGGCACGTGGGGCTCTGTCCAGCAGCAGTGTGGGCAGGGGGTGCCTGTGGTTGTGCAGGGCAGCTTCAATGTCTTGTGTGGTGGCTGCTGGGGGGACAAGGCTGCAGCTCCCAGCAGGCAGAAAGGGGGTCAGGGAGCCAAAACACTCCCATGCCCCAAGTCCAGCAAGCACATGCCAGCCCCCGTGAGCTGCTGGGCCAGCGTGGGCTGGAGCCACGAGAGCTGCTCACTTGGCCCACCAGGAGCTGGCAGGGGACGTGTGCGGAGAGACTGAGCTCCTGCCAGAGACTGTTCTGTGAGTGTCCTGCCATGCCTGGCAGACCTGACCTGCCCTGCCATCCCCCTCTCAGGGGAGCATAGCCTGGCCATAGCTTAGACCTCTCAAGGGCCAGGCAGCCCCGTCCCCACTCCTGTCCCCGGCGCCTGCCCCCTGATCACTGCCCCCAGCCCCTTTCTTCCCCACCTGGTATTCAGCCCTGTCCCACTGGCTGCTCTTTATCCAGTGTCTCTTGTCCCAAAATCCATTTCCCACGAGGGCTGAGAACACAGAAGCAGACTTTTTAAAGTTTGTTTTTTTCAGCAATCATGCAAAGAATCAGACACTGTGACACAAATATGGGATTTGGAACCGCAAATAAAAATGGTTGTGGTTCTGCCCTTTTAAAAATAGCTTTGTCCTGTGTCTTTCACAGTTCTCCTTTTATTGCCTTTCAATTCTAAATGAATACCTAACCTCAGCCCTGACCTGTTCCGGTCTGGAGAGCAGCGTCGATCTGCCATGACAGTTCCTTATCCCAAATCCCAGTTCTCTTGCTGTTCTCACCCTGCCCTTCCCTCCCCAGTGCCCAGTGACCTGGAGGCCGTTTTTACCTGTCCCCTGCCTTCCTGTGGGACCTCTCTGGGGACCTGCCCATCCCTGTCCCCTCGTGCCACTGGCCCATCCTGAATGCAGTGTCTGTCTTTGCCTCCTGCCCGGCAGCCCTGCCGTGACCTGTTTGTGCTTTCCAGCTTTAAACTGGGGACTATTTCTGTTGATAGGTGCTGTGGGCAGTGGGGAAGGAAGAAGCGGGGAGGAAACTGGGGTCCTGGAGCATGATCGAGCTGTAAATACCTGGCTGTGAGCGGTTTTCCTGTGGGTCCCCTTGGCTCCCTGTGGGCAGAAGCAGCCTGGGCAGTGGGCACTGCCATGCTGCCCACAGCTCCCTTGCCCAGGCCTGGCAGGTAACCTGCCTTGGTGATTGCAAGGCACCTTTTTTTCCCAAATTCCTGTGTCTTCTCAAAATCCTGCCCATCACATGCACAGCCTCAGCCTGCCCTGCCTGTGCTGTGGCTGGGAAAGGTGCTGCAACTGAGCCTGGCAAGGTCCTGGGGCAGCACCCAGGGCTTAGCACCCCCGGGGCTGGGAGCTCTGCCTGTCTGGGAGACAAACCACAGAGACTGATGGGATTTGCTTGACAGGGGTCCCACGGGCTCGGGAATGTGAGCTCTGGAGCTCCTTGCTCTGGGAAGAGCCTCCTGCGCAAAGGGGAGTCGGTCCACAGGCCGTGCCCGCCCCTGCCTGCTCCTGGGCCGGCCTCGGCTCCGCGCTGGCCTTGCCAGGCTTCCCGGCAGCCAGGCCCCGGCTCACGGCGCGGGGCTGGACCGCTGCCACCCTGCTCCTCACCCGGCCCTGCGCCGCGTCCTCCCCTGCCCTGCATGAGGTGCTGCCAGGGAAGGACGCGGTGTCCCCGTGTGCTGGGCAGCTGGGCCCTGGTGCCTGCCCTGCCCTGCCCTCCTCAGGGCCCCGTCCCTGGGGGAGCAGCTCCTCTGGCTGGGCTGGGGCCAGACTGGGTTCCTTTCCCTGCTGCCAGCTCTCAGTGGGGAGTGTTGGGATGCTCAGTCATGGGGCTGGCTGATGCTTTGGTTGTGCTCCAGACACCCTGGGAGAGGAGGGCTCATACCCTGGGTTCTGCCTGGGGCTGGGGGTGGCATGGCAGGGACTGTGCTGGCATAGCTGCTCCAAGTGTGGTCCCCTCTCACTGAGCTGGGAGAGCCATGGCTGCCATGACTTCCTCCTTGCCCTTGTTTGTAGCCCATGTTGGCATCTCTGCACCTTTGTAGGTTTGTGGGGTGCAGTGAAGCCTCCAGGCTCCTGGGTGAGGAGTGGGGGCCCTGGGGGCCTGAGGGCACCTGCGGTGCTGGGCAGGGCAGCCGGTGTGTCTCTGGGCCACGCAGGGGCTTGAGCTGCTGTTTTCCTCCTCGGGTATGAAAGGTCCCATTCATCCCCTGCTGCAGGGCTCAGGTTCTCATCTGGGCTGAGCCGGGTCCCCAGGCATGTGTTAAAAGCAGAGGGGATTATGGAGCGGCTCCAGCGTCGCCGTGGGGCCGGCTGTGATGCAATTAAAATATTACGAAAACTGCCCGGGCTGACGGGTGGGAGAGCCGGCCGAGGCACTGAGCGGGGCTCTGGCAGCGCCTGGGGGTGGGACCACGGCGGCCGCCAGCAGGGGCTGGACGGGGGTCCTGGCTGGGCTGCCTCCAGCTCTGCACCAGCCACATCTGTTTGGGTCCTGTGCTGCGGTGGAGCCATGGAGACGGATGCTGCTCCTTCCCTGGCACTTGCAGCTTCCTGGGCTCAGGACAGGACCCGGCTCCTTTGGGGTCTGCCCGGCTGCCTCCCCCCTTCCTGCAGGACGTTGCCATGTCCCTTCAATGTCTGCGCCCTCCCCGCTGGCCCTGGCCCCAGCTCCTCAGTGCCCGTGTCAGCACTTGGCTTCAGTTTCCACTTTAATTAACTCGAGCAGGAGGAACATGGAAAAACCTGGGCTGGGGCCTCCCCCGCCTCCTCTCCTCAACAAAGGGCTCATTGAGGCTGGCCCGGCGCTCTGCCACGGCGGAGCTGTGCTGGGAGCTGGCGGTGCCCGGGCGGGGGGCAGAGACCATGGCCTGGGACACCATAGCCCCGCGTGAACCCCTGTGCTGGGGGACAGCAGGTCTGACCCCAGCTCTGCTCTGGGGCCAGGGCAACCCCCACTGCCACACGTGCAGAGAGTGTGGTTGAGGATGTGAGGGTCTCTTGTAAGCCAGGGCATCCCCCTGTGCTCGCCGGAGACCCCCTCACCCCCCTGCTGGCTCCTGCAGACGCGGAAGCTGTCGAAGACGGAGCGGCAGCGGGTCAGCGAGGAGGTGGAGATGCTGAAGGGGTTGCAGCATCCCAACATCGTCCGCTTCTACGACTCCTGGAAGTCGTCCATCAAAGGCCAGATCTGCATCGTGCTGGTCACGGAGCTCATGACGTCTGGCACTCTGAAAACGTGAGCAGTGACCCCCAGGTTGGGGTGCACAGAGAGGGGTGGGGCCCCTGCGGTGGCTGGGAGGTGAGGGAGCAGTGTGCACCCTGGAGACTTAATGTGGGCATTTCAGTGGTGATGATGGGCTGTGGTGGGCTCGGGTGGAATCTGGGCAGATGACAGGGCAGAGCTGGGAGCTGGAGGCAGAAATCAGGGGACACTGATGGATATTTGAAGACCCAGGAATTTCACTGGCACCATCCTGCATGCAGACAGTGTGGCCTGGACATGCCTGTGCCGAGTGGGGTGGCAGCACTGGCTGCTTACCCTGGCTGGCTCCTGGCACTGGTGGCTCAGGGATCTTAGCTACTCCTGGGCTGCTGCCTCTGCACAGTCCAGCTGAGGAGGGGACCAGGAGCCCCTGAATCCAGGATGCTTTTTGCCACTCACCCTGCCTGAACACCCATATATGGACAGGCTTGGTGTGGTGGTGGCAGAAGGGTGGTCCAGGATGAGGGCTGGGGTGTGGGTCTGAGCCGCATGGGTACCCTGGCAGCTATCTGAAGCGGTTCAAGGAGATGAAGCTGAAGGTGCTGCAGCGCTGGAGCCGGCAGATCCTCAAGGGGCTGCATTTCCTGCACACTCGCTCACCCCCCATCATCCACCGCGACCTCAAGTGTGACAACATCTTCATCACAGGCCCCACTGGCTCGGTCAAGATTGGGGACCTGGGCCTGGCCACGCTCAAGCGAGCCTCCTTCGCCAAGAGTGTCATAGGTGGGGTCCTGGGCGGGTCCCGGAAGGGTCCCAGTGGGCTCGCAGCTGCCCCATTGGGGGTGTGGGTGGGTCAGTGCCCCAGGGTTGCTGAGCCCTGCTGCCGCCCCCAGGCACCCCCGAGTTCATGGCACCGGAGATGTATGAGGAGAAGTACGACGAGGCAGTGGATGTCTACGCCTTCGGGATGTGCATGCTGGAGATGGCCACCTCTGAGTACCCCTATTCTGAGTGCCAGAACGCTGCCCAGATCTACCGCAAAGTCACCTCCGTGAGTGGCCCCCGGCCCGGGGGTGACACTGCTGGCTGGGGCTGCAGCCATGGCACCTGGGGTTGGGGGAGGCTGGTTTGGAGACCTGCTCCCAGAAATGTGTCACTGTGCAGGCTGTGCAATGGTCTGGGTGGTAAGAGGGCACTTTGCCAGCGCACGAGGCCTGTGGCAGGTGGGGGGGCTGTGGCTTGGCCAGACCCTGCGTCCCTCACACCGTGCCAGGTGCTGCCGGAGTGTTAATGGGGTGGAACTGGAGCCAGTCGGCTCAGTCACCCCTTGCCCAGGGCACCGCAGCTGCCGCAGCCCGTCCTGGCTGGCTCCTGCCTGCTGGGGTGGAAACACGGAGCCCCGGGGCATCCTGGCCATGGTTACCACGCTGGGCCACCTGCCTGGGCGAGCAGCTGGGGACCTGCAGCCGGTCTGGCCCTGGGCTGGTCCCTGTCTCCACGTATCCCTACTGCCGGTGGGGCTGTGCTGGGTGGCACTGGAGGCTGCGAGGCCACAGCTGCCCAGGGAATGTCTGGCAGCACCTTGGCACCACAGAGCCTGGGCTCTGCCCCATGCCCTGGAAACCTGGTGCTGTAGCAGCATCTGGCTCAGGAGACTCTGATGCCTGTTGCCCCCAGGGCCTGAAGCCCAGCAGCTTCTACAAGGTGAAGGTGCCAGAGCTGAAGGAGATCATTGAGGGCTGCATCCGCATGGACAAGAATGAGAGGTGAGGGCAGAGTGAAAGCCTTGGGACAGTTCCCCTGGCCCCCGGCCCCGCCCTGAGCCATGCTCTCCACAGGTACACCATCCAGGACCTGCTGGAGCACTCCTTCTTCCAGGAGGACACAGGGGTGCATGTGGAACTGGCTGAGGAGGATGATGGCGTCAAGTCTGGGCTCAAGCTCTGGCTGCGCATGGATGACACGAAGAAGCTGCATGGCAAGTACAAGGACAACAACGCCATCGAGTTCCTCTTCGAGCTCTACAAGGATGTGGCAGAGGAGGTGGCCCAGGAGATGGTGAGTGCAAGGATGAGGGACTTTGGGCGCTGTGGGGTCCCTGCACCCTGATGTGACCAGCCCCCTCCGGCGCAGGTGGTCCTGGGCTTCATCTGTGAGGCCGACTACAAGCTGGTGGCCAAGGCAGTGCGGGACCGTGTGGTCGCCATCAAGCGCAAGCGGGAGAAGCTGAAGCGCGCCCAAGAAGTGCGGTCGCCTGCGGAGCCAGAGCAGCCACCAGGCGTCCTGCAGATGCTGGAGGAGCTCAAGTCCCCACTACCACCTGGTGCCCCCGTGTCTGCCCTGGCCACCCCCAGCTCTGGGGACTCTGTCTTCAGTAGCACCTTCCCCCCAGAGCCTGAGGAGCCCGAGGCTGACCAGCACTTCTCCTACCGGCATACCAGCTACTCCTGAGCCACCTGTGCGTAGCCTCTGGGTGTGGGGACAGCAGGGCGAGCTGGAGTGGGGGGACTGTGGGGGGACAGCAGGACAACTGGGAGTGGGAGGCAGGTGCAGTGTCTCTCCTCACCTCCAGTCCCACAGCCGTTCCCTGGGGGCACAAACTAGGGAGGGGGCTTTCTCTGGCCTTGCTCACATCAGTAGTGCTCCTTGACAGCTGACTGCGAGACTGATGGCTACCTGAGCTCCTCTGGCTTCCTGGACTCCCCAGACCTGGCCCATCACAGCTTCTCGACGGGGGACCCCGTCAGCCCACCGCCCGCCCGCCCCATGCGCTGCTTCCCCACGGTGAGCAGGGCCCCATGGGGCTGGGGTCGGGGTGGCCGCGGTGCTGGCTGACGGTGTCCTGTCCCCGCAGAGCA